AGTGTCCACATCCCTATTTGTTCTTACTGTATCGGGCATGAGTCCTGCAATCTTTCCTGTGTCTTCTCCAAATTCTCCTCCTCCTCCTCCTCCTATCAACTGAACTCAGTGTTCTAATGAAACCTCACCGAGAATTCTCCAAATGTCACACAGAGGCCACTCTGGATCCTGCCTGTGGGCACCTTCGGAGACACACTACCACCACCTGGCTACTTATGTGAGAAAACAGAGGGTATCAATGGCGGGCCTCTCTGCTGTGCACCCCTCCTGTCCACCATGGCTGCAAGGTGCAGCCCAGGGGTCCCACCGGTGCTGGTCTCCAAGCTCACACCTTCCCACCTTTAATTTCAACGGCCCTGGCCCGGGCCCAGGAGCTCCTAGCCTTCAGGGTGGGAGCTACACAGGTAATTCATGGCCTCTTGCCGACAATAGTCCTCCTTTGATAAAATGAATCCTGTGGCCATTATTTTTTTTTCTGGGCTTTCTAAAAGACACAACTGCCCTCTGAGGGGTTTAGTGGCTGAATTCTTCCACAAATTTGATTTCATATTTCATCAGAAATACRGTTGTAAATGAGTGCTGAAGGTCAGGTCTCCCAGGCATCACACTAGACTAGACCCTGGCCTTCTTCAGGAACCAACAAATTGAGATGCCGCCTCGGCACTCTGAGGCACACTGTCACCACGGCCTTCAGGAGCAGCGTCCTGTCACACCAGCACGCTCCTGGTTCTGTGGCCAGTCCACACCTGGGGTAGGGTCGCTGCTCCTTCTCGTCTGTGCTGGGAACAGAGGGCAGTATGCGCCGCCCTGGGCACACCTGGGGCGCGGCCTCCTGCAGCTGACACCTTCTCAGACCAGAGGACGTGCGTCTGAGGCAGCAGGACCTCGCTACAGCCCAGCTGCACGGCAGCCTCGGCACCCGACCAGACAGAGGACGCCCTACAGGGTGACACTGTGAGGGAGGAAATGCTGACACTCATTTGCCTCGGGAAGCCTCCAGCCACAGAGGACAATCCTGCTGCTGCCTGTCTGCCTTAAAGGCCAGCAAACCAGCACTTTCATGTGCCACGCAGCGCCCGCAAACGCCTGGCTCGGGTCTGGTCACCTTAGGAAAACATCCTGAGCTTCGCTCACAGCAAGGCAAGGATCACCTTAGGAGGTGATTTAGAATGAAGCTAACATAGTGCTTGAAAAATCCAAGAGGTGCCTGGAGGCTGTCGTCACACCTGCCCGTGCAGGAGGTCTCGGTCTGTCACGCTGTGGACACGGAGCGGCTCTGGGCTGAGCATGTGGAGAGAGCTGTCTGGCAGACGAAGAGCCAGGGCAGCAGTGGTCTGGAGGCTGACCAGGGCCCCTAAGACCCACCTCCATCCCCAGGCATGAGCTCAGTGCCCACAGAACACCACGGCATCACCGACTACCGGAGAAGAAAGGCTACGGTGACCGACGCTTCTCCTGTAGCTGTCACAGAGTGCGAGTGTCTCACTCCCTGCTTGGCGCCAGCTGCAGTGCCCATAATGCGAGGACACCCCGTGCTGCGCCAGTGTCAGGAGCTGACGCTTCAGGCAGGACACTGCCCCCTCGGCGCAGGCTGTGCCGAGCAGAGGCCAGTCAACAGCAGCTGCCTGTCCAGCTAGAACCGCACCTGAGAGGCAGCCAGAGGGCACAAACCACCTGCAGTGCAGGTCACGGAAGTCACAAACTCCAAGCCATGGTTGACTTGTTTTGACTTCGCCAAGACAAGGCCTCTGACATCACTTCTCCCGCCACCTCCTCAGAGCTGGTGTTTCCCGGGTGGAGAGGGGTCAGTCTGGTGTGCTGTCCCCAGGCAGCCCCTGCCTGTGCCTGACCTTCTCTCTGGCAGGCCACACCCCTGCACGCTACGCCGCGGGGAAGGACTCCGAGGGCCCTCAGGAACAGGGAGCTCCCTCTGCCCTCAGGCCGCGGGCTCAGGTCACCTTCCCACCTGGCAGCCCCTTCCTTTACCTGGTTCTGTGGGCCCTTGAAACAATCAAACCCCGTGGCTAGTACATCCAGGCCTGCTGACCTTGCTTCATAGAGGGCAGTCAGGACAGGACGGGGAAGAACACCGACCACTGTCCTCAGGGCAGCTCTCATCACCTGACCCTGGGCCCCTGAGGGCTCTGTGGGGACACTGGTCAACTCATCTTCCCTCTGCAGGTGTGATGGGTGGTGGCCAGCGAGGGTGTCCCCGCAGAGCCGAGTCCTGAAGGCAGCTTGAGAGCCACGGGAAGTGGAGAAAGCCGCAGTTCAGCAGGGAAGGTCGAGCTCACGGCCCCAGATGGGCTCAGAGAAGGCCCCGTGGCCCTCCAGCTCCAGAGCACAGGAGAAGTCCAGGAGCTGGGAGTGCAGGCGACCTCTCTCCACTGCACCCCGCAAGTGCAGAGGGCCAGGCCAGAACACAGCAAGACGGGCTTGCAAAGGGGGCGGGGGGCAGCTTCCTGCCTGTATTTGGACTTCCCGTCCCTGGGTTTTGATGTCTGTCAAGGTGACAGGCCATCCCTACCAGGAAACTAAGGGATTCCAAGACTCTTCAGAGCCAACTCTCAATATGGAAGCCATCATGATGGACCTGGGTGTCTGTTCCATACGCCTTATGTTTAACATCCATTGGCACAAGCTAGAAAATCTGCTATCTGCTCTACAGAAGATGTGAATAGATATTTGGCAGCCCACACACCAACGAGTGAGCTGTGCGCAATCTTCTCAGCTCGACCTGGGGGACAGAGGGCTCTTGCTGACCAGAACACAGAGAAGGAGCGCAAGACAAAAGTGTACCAGGAAGAAAACACATCAGCCTATACATCACTTGGCGTGCTCGCCTACACACTGTCGCTGTATTATTTTGGAAAGAGATTTCTCCTCTCCACYAAGAACAGCCTGTATCCTGGAGTTAATTTAAGACTCACTTGGCTTTTTTACCTAATAAGGATAATTATCTCCAAATAGTGAAAATGATGAAGTGGGCGTGAGCAGCACTCCCCAGAGCCTGGAGCACAGCTCGGCTGACCTTCCTGGGCTGCGTGGGACGTCTGCAGTGCTGAGGGCCCGTCCGGGGCGGCAGCCTTCCCCAGGAGCCCCAGGGTCCTCCTCCTGAACCTGGCAGAGGAACCGTGGCTGTCCCAGCATAGTGCCCCATCCCCTCCAGTGCTGTGTCCCCCGGGGCTCATCTGACATCAGACACGCCTCCGGGTACCCTTCTTGTTTCTCCACAGCGATGGCCCGTTGTTGGCACAAGATGAAGGATCATTTCAGTCTTCAAATCAGGTCCCCATCTAGTGCTTAAAGGGTGGGATTTTTCCACGAAACGACCTTCCTGCCAAGTGCACCCTGGGGGACCAGCAGTGTCCTGTCCCAGAGGAGGGCAGACCTCCTGGGACACRGCTGGGCCACACTCATGCTGGACCACAGGGCACAGGTTCAGGAGTCACGTGGCTTCACGTTACCCAAAGACAGAAGACCAGTTCACAAATGCCTTGGGCCCTTTAAGAAGTACGTCAGGCGCCCCGGAATAGTTGAGACCAGCCAATCAGGCAGACGCTCACCGAGGGCTTTCCTTGCAACAAGCGTGCATGAAACTCGTTATTTCTTTTTCAGAAATTTGTCACCTGCTCATATCACCACCTGACTTCAGGGGCTGGGGTGTCATGCTGGAGTGGCCTGGCCTGCAGAAGGCCCGGGCTGCACCCCGGCTCCACACAGACACAAATTTGGACCTCTAATGATACAGGAGACCTTCTGGTATCTGCCCCCTCCTCACACCTAGTGCAGAAGGAAGCCACCAGGGAAAACGAGAGCAGCTGACCTTCCCCCAGAGGAACATAGGGTGGCAAAAATAAAGCCACCAACAGACTCTTCAATCCTGACTCTACAGCAGAACCCTGGACGGCCCCCAAGGTGGGGGACAGCTGGACACCTCAGTCCAGAGCACCTTAAGCCCAGAGAACTCTTGATGGGAGTTYTGCCATGCTGATCCCCGGTGCTGTCGAGCAGACCTGGGAGCGGTGAGCACAGAGTGAGCATGATCTGGGCACTTCCCTGCCTATTTGTAAGCAGAGAAGCACTTTACTTTGCAAAGTTAAAACCTTCTTTATCAATGGCAGTAAAATCCTACAAGAACCATGGATGCTCTTGAAGGGGAATTTATCTAGACCATCCAAGACTGAGATCAGACACACAGCATACATGGAGGAGGTAACAGAGCAGTTTTTATGGTCTCTGAGACAATCTGGAGATATTTAAGAAGAAATAAAGACTGAGATGAAACAGAGCTACTGAAGGCATGGGACCCACCCCATGATGTCAGAGCACTGGCTGTCTCCGGGTGCAGGGAGCTGTGGGACCCGGTGGGCTCCTGGGTGCTGCTCTAGTCTGGGCAGCAAGTGCCTGTCTCCTGCARCTCCTGGAAGGACACTGTCCCCTGAGGGCTCAGGTATGCCTGCTGACACGTCCCTTCTTGGCTCTTCAGATACCCTGCACTTCTGAGCTCAGAGAACCTTGAGAAGCACCTTGTGGGAATGCATTTCCTCGTTTTGTTTCAAATGGTCCTTTGCAATTAGACTTACCTGATAACAGACTGAGCTCATGCTTTGCTAAAACTACCCCCTACTTTGTGCTGAGGTTCAGCGCTAAGGGAATGCCCGGGAAACATGCTTTGGGCTAAGCATTTCAGGAGCACCCAGGAGTTCCAGAGTGCTGACACTGATGTTGGAGTGATGCTGGTCCTTCGTCCTCCCTCGCGTGTGACCTCGCGTGGATCTTCTCCCACCGCAGCCACAGTGACAGCAGCCTGAGAATCAGCCCATGTGCTTAACCTGTAGGCCTGAGTCAGCCACCAACTCTCGGCCCTCTGGGAAGAAGTGGGAGGCTCCAATCCACCATGGTGCTGAGCCCCAGAAGTGGGCAGACTCTGTTCCCACCACCCCAGAAAGAGACCCTGCAGTGGTGGCCGATGCCCACTGGCTGTGGGCAGTACTCACCCTGCAGCTGCCGGCCCTTGAACAGGTCCCGGGCCCTGGCGGGGTGTGCCCTGGCTCTGTCGTCACACTTGGGCTGCTCATACCTGGGGGTGGGAGAGAAGAGCTGCTGGAGGGCCTGACCCCTGGTTCTCCACCTCTCCAGCGTGTGAGAGCTAYGGGTGGGCTCCCCCAGACAGAACCATGGCATCCGGTCCTCGTGTCACATGCCTGTAGCGTAACTACCTCAGCTACACCATGGACACGTCCCCCAGTGACGGGAAGAGGCACCTGCAGCTCCTCCCCGGCAGCCTCTGCCTCACTCTTGTCCCCTCCTTCTATTACGTGATTTCACAAAGAGCAAGCGCTGTGCACTTCAGACCCGTGGCATGGCTCAGGACGGGGAAGGAGGAGCAGGAGTGTGAGGACAGTGTACGAGGTGGGCTTGGCCACTGGATCCCTCCCAAGAGGTGGCACAGTCTCTAAGACTCAGGATTTTCCACCGATACATTACTCAAAGTCATTTTCAGTCCAATTCATGAAGCTAAAAGTGTTAAAAATAAAGAAAAGCCACCTGGTTCCACCTGGTTCCACCTGGAGTCAGTCAAYCACGGAGCACTCGTGGGAGGGGACTCTGCCGCCTGAAGGTGCCGGCCCCCAGACGCCCAGCTTAGAAAAAGCCAGTGGTGTGGCCAACAGCCCCTCCAAGTCCACCTGGCCTGGGCACTGCCTGGGTGTTGGAGACGGAGTGGAGGTCTGTGCCCCATGAGGCCAGCTCAGCCCAGCAGAAAGTGGGCAGTCAAAGCCAGTGCAGAGGCTGTGAGCACAGAGGTGGCCCCGGCCTCAGCTGCCCCCTCCATGGTCCCCTCTCAGGCTTCTCGGGCTGATCCCAGATAAGGACCTGGGGGAGGGGAATCCATCCCCGGGAGAAACCTCTGGGGGCAGGGGTAGTCTTGAGCAGAATGACTGGTTTCCTCCCTGGAGGGGACTTCACAGGAGTCATGGGGCTGGTGCAGCCCTGTCCTGGCCTGCGCCTCCTGCCCCCCATCCACAGGTCCACTCTTCAGTCCTTCCACCTCCACGGCCTCTCCTTGGGCACTCGGGCTCCTGTGCAGGACATCAGTGCAGGCCAGGACTGACCCATGCAGAAGGCAGACAGATGCGTGGGAGCCAGCCAGGAGCAGGGGGCAGGAGGCGTGTCCTGGGCCTCGGCCGGCAGGCTGCGGCACTGCAAGGTCGGCCTCCACGTCCTCCCTTCCTTCCCGGTCCTCCCTCCTGTCCTCCCCTCTCATGCTCTAAGAAGGGGCTGCCAGGTCACGTTTACCTCACAGAGATCATGTGTGTTCTCATTTTCCACTATTCACTTGTTTTCCAATCTTAGAAAGTAAAAGCAAATGGATTTCTCCAGTCTCCTTCCTCTGGCGTCCAAGAATCGGGCCAGTCCCAGGGCAGCTCTAGCCGGGCCCACACCTCTGCCTCTCCTCCCTGAACAGAGAATCCCACACTCCACACTCACAGACGAGTGTGTCTTCCTGAAACGTGGTTTGGGAATGAAGTCCCTGACGGACTCTGGCCAGCACAAAGCACACTCTACCCAAAGCCGTGAGCCGAGATTTCCTGGGAACGTGAGGTTCAGTGACAGACAGCAGAGACTCCACAGTCACAGGGACAGCCCCACCCGCCGGCTTCTCCTGGTGCCTTTGGGGCTATGGCCAGCAGAGGGGAGGTAAAATGCACCCAGAGGGCCTGGGTGTAGCTCAGTGGAAAGCACTTGCTGCAATGTGTAAGGCCCTGGGTTCGAGTCCAGCACCTCAAAAATAAGACAACCAGGGCACACCCAGTGGGCTGGACGAACACTCTGCTGCCCAAGGGCCGTGGAGAACACTGGCAAGCCCGATCTTCAGTTCCAGCCCTGGGCCAGCATCTGGGCAGTTGGAATAGTCTAGAACTGACAGCTACAGGAGAACAGGCCCCTTCCCAGCACATGAGGTCCGAGTTGCAGAGGATGGGCACGGCCAGTGCCCTCCGACTGGGTAGGCCTGCAGCAAGGGCTTCCCCCCKACTGAGCCTGGACTGAGAGTCCGAGGCACACCCGGGTAGCCCTTCTGCAGAGTTAGAAAGCTGCCCCGTTCATTCCAAATCCCTGCAGTGCATCCAAAGCCCTTCAGGACCTAACCCTCCTCACGTAGGATGATGAGATCATACTAGTCCCCTTTTGTCGTCTACTAACTTCGAAGCCACGAGGAAGCTAGCCACCCCAGACGTCACTAGGGTCTGGCTCCAAATGGGGGACAGAGTCTCTTAAGGATCCCAGCACTGAGGCTGAATTTAAGAAGGTAGTGAGGGGAGCCTCTGCTCTTCCCGAGTCCAGCAGAATGCCGTCGTCTGCAGGAATGGTGCTTGCAGGACGATGCCCAGGGCAGAGCTGAACGGCTTCCACGTGTCTCCACTCTTCTCCGCAGTGTTTGTTTAACTTATTTGCATAAAGAATAAACACATCTCTCTGCTGTCTGGCTGCCCATCAGACCTCAGGCCGACTGCCATGGAGAAGTGGCTTCATGCCTTTGTGGCCACCGGACAGAGCTCTAGACTCAGGAACAGAGGCGCCCTTTCCGGACAGTGGACCAGGGTCTGTTCTGGCTCCAGGGTAGCAGCTGGGTCTCACCTGCCCCCTACTGATCCAGTACTCATTCCTACTCTCTGCCAAGTAGACACCTGTCCCTCTCCTCCCAGCCTGGATCCCACCAGCCTGGTGGCCTGGGCTTGCACAGGGGCCTGGGCCCAAACTTCAGGGACCTGCAAACTATGGCCAAGGGGTTGATCTTGACACAGAGGCAGGAGAACCAGGAGGGAGCTGGTCCCTCAGTGGGCAGGACATATGCTCACTGGACTCCACTCAAGTCTGTGACAAAGGCCCTTGATTCTTTAGCTTAAGGACATAGGCAAGTGATGAGGCATTTGATACTGACAGCTGTTTCCACTGTCAGTTTCACGTTTCCTTCCATCAGAAGACACAGGATCACTGAGGGAACAAGCACTTGGGCTCTCCACTCAATGCACCTCCAACCTGCAGAGCACCTCCTGAACACCTCCCAAGCTTCGGGACATGGGTGAGGATCCGTGCTCATGCAACGGAGAGTATGTGAACAGCCACGCGGGTGGCTGTCCCTGTGTGCTGGCTGCCCAGCCCCGGCACAGCAGCAAAGACCCATGAGGCTGCTCTCTCCCCTGGTGCTGCTGACCTGGTTTTCTGATGGACTGCTGAGCACGGGTGATCCAGTGCTGGGCAGTTATCCACACACTAAATCTACCTGGGACTTCTTAGAAACTTTTTTTTCCCCAGCAAGAGAGAGAAGAGGGGGGGGGGGCTCCCTGAGTACTATGGCCCGTGGGTGTGATGCCTGGATCTTCTGCAGCTGCTTGTACCTACGAGGGGAACCTGTCCAGGGCAAAGCTAACACATGGGGCTGTTGGAGCAGATTTGAAATTCTCCCTGGCAACACCACCAGGCCATGGGATCAACTGAAACTGAGCTTGCTGTTCCTCCATGCGCCTGGTGACCTGGCCAGCCCTGGTCAAGCTCACCTGACCTTGCTGTGTGGGCAGCATTCACCCCTGCTGGGCTGGCCAGCCCTTGCTCCCTGGTACCTGCGGCCCTGACTGCCATCTGTCTGTCAGGGGTTTCCCTGGCCGTGTGGGCTGCACCCACCACTCTGCCCAGCTGTGTTCATTTCCTACAGGGAATTTGTCTCCACCCAGAACACTGACCCATCAGGCTCCTCTGGCCATGTGTCAGTGTCGTCTGCTCCCTCGCTAGGGGGGAGCTTCATGGGCAGGGTGGCAGCCTTTCAGTTAGAACGGCATCCCTGGCTCCTAGGACAGGCCACCCCCTGCAGTGGACCCCTCCTTCCTGGTCACCCTGTGACAGGCCACCCCTGCAGTGGACCCTCCTTCCTGGTCACCCTGTGACAGGCCACCCCTGCAGAGGACCCCTCCTCCTGGCATTCCGGTGACGGGCCACCCTGGGGTGAAGCCCTGTCCCCACCAGGGAGGAGAGGAGGCTTTCCTCGCTGGCAAAGCTTTCTCCCAGAACCCGCTGTCCTGGCCACACAGGATGCTTCTCCAAGGCCCGGCAGGACAGGGACTGAGCCAGGAACGAAAGCCGCAGAGTGGAGAGGAGAACACGCACACAGACGGGTGTCATCGACTGCCAGAGCCCCGGAGACCCCATTGTTCAGAGCAGGGGGCAACTCCTGAGAGGAGGTGGGATGCAGGACAGGTCAGCCGCCCTTCCCCAGGGGACACAGGATGGTGCACTATCCTCCCCCAGAGCCTCCGGGACTGACCCTGGGTGCCCGTGTGTGCGGGAGGAGACAGGGTTAGGACAGGACTGCAGCCAGCCCCTGAGCAGCCCCCTCATTGGCTCCTGAAAGGGGAAGAAGAGGGAGTTGCCCCGCCCTCAGGTGACTGGGAGAATCAGTCCTGAGCGGGATGAAGAGGGCGGAAGAGATCAGGGTGGCTGGGGAGGGCATGTCGGGAGAGCAGATGGGGACACAGCACCTTCCCGGGTCCTTAGGGAAAACACTGTCGTTGCTGGTCTCCATTCCAGAGCCAGTTTGAGCAGCTCCGGTTTTGACGGCATGAAGGTTTTCGTTGGCCGGCACTAAGAAAATGCCTGCCAGGGACACGTCTCCCTGTTGCAGAGCCACGGGACGGGCCAGGGCTGCGGCTGGCACAGCCCAGTGGGGGAACCGGCCAGAGCTCCCAGCAYGCAGCACTTGTTCCGGGTCTCCCAGAAAACTGCTCTCTGTGTGCCGATGCACAGGGACAGAAGTGGCCTCACACCAAAGCCCTGGACTGGGGGATGCTGTCTCCAAGCTGGGCAGAGCACACTCGCTCCCAACGGCCCATCGCTGCCCTGGGCTCTGCTGGTATCTGCTCTGAGCTGGCTGGCTCCATGGGGCACTGATCGGAACGCGCTGTCTGTCCCCCTCTGTACCAGGAGCTGGTACCCCTCCTGGACAGAGGGTGGCCAGGTTGGGCTCAGCCTGAACAGAGCGGGCGTTGGCTGGTCACCTGCGCCTCCAGCTCCTGGGTCCTGCCAGCTAGCCCCTCTCCTTTCCCTGGGTTCACACTGGAGAAAGTGGGGAGATGACTTAGGGAGGGTCGGAATGCTGACGCCTGTGCATTATGTCAACCATTTTGATACAAATCTAGGGAGAGTCGAAGGCACGGTCAGGACAGAGCTGCTAGAGGACAGTGCTAGCCCCTGGCCAGCAGCCCGGCCTTCAGGGGCCGGAGGCGCTTTGCACACAGACCAGGAGTGAGGAGCTATTGTCTTACATCAGATCCTGGGCTCCTGTTATCACTCCTGCTTTCCCGTATTCCCACTTTGTGTAAAGTGAGGACTTGGGACTCGAGAATCCGTACACCCCAGCAGGCCCCCTGGGCGCCGGTCCCCTCGGCACCCTACACGTCTGGCCTCCTYTGCCGGCACAAGGGGTGAGCGGAAGGGGCACTTGCTCTGGGCTGTGGCCCGTGTGCTGGCCGAGGCACAAGCTGGCAGCGGCCACACTGAGGAGACATGAGCTTTCAGGGCTGCGCTGCTGAGCCTCTGCCTAGCTCAGGGCACACTCTGCCCACCGTCTGATGGCACACACCACACTTCCTAATGAAAACCCAAGCAGAGGACAGACGGACACTCAGGGTGTGAGGCCCAGGTCTCACAGGTGCCATGCCCATGGCAGGTGCCGAGGTGGCCCTGCCCTCCTGGTTTCCATACCCAGCGCCTTACCTACCACCCGTGGCCCGGGACTGTGCTTTACCTGGTGGATGTGCCAGGAATGGGGCGCCCTGTGTCCACCAGCACACACCAGCAGTACCCCGTGGATGGGTGGCACTGAACCGGCTTGTAGAGGCCCCCGTGGGCACACTCGGGGATCACCACGTTGTCATTCTTGGGCTGCCTGGCTTCCTCCAGGGCGGACTGGTGCTCCTGGTCACAGGAGGACACTGTGGAGGAGAAGCAAGGGAGAGATGGTGAGCAGGGCTGAGGAGCCGGCCAGACCAGAGCTGGCCCCGAGGCACAGCTGGAAGGGCAGGAAGTGGGGCTCGGAGAGGGCTGTGGTCATGCCAGGGGACCCAGAGGAGGCTGAGCAGCAGAGGGTGCAGCCCCTGACCTGCAGCAGGGGACAGGGAAGCTCCCAGGCAGCAGCGCTGCCTTGACACATGTCCTGAGGGAACCATGCCACGTCCTCCCCGGTGCATGGGAGGTCAGGATGAGGAGGGACGCGGATCTCTCCAGGCCTCAGCCACGGCCCGGAGGCTGCCAAGTGTCCACAGCTCGGGGTGGGGCCAACCCCAGGGGACTGCCCACATTCCCAGCATGCCATTCTTCACGGTTCAGAGCTCCCTGAGGTATCAGAAGATTATCCACTTTTCCCCCAGAGCCCCCTTGAGGTCCAGCCTCAGGAGGACAGGTTCTCAATGTTCACAGTGTGGTCACCCCCGAATAATGAGCTCAACTGTGGTGCTCCTTAAATAGCCATGTCATCGGCAGCCAGTAGACAGCAGTGGTGTCGGGAACCTGTGCTTAGTCCTGTGTGCCCGGCATGAGCCACGTGAGTTCTGAAAGTCACACAGGTGTTAAACAAGGACAGGTAAAGTCCCCGAGGCCTGCGTTCAGTGTGCAAAGGCTCAGCCCACCTCCAGCGCAGCCAGCTCCTCCCGGGTTCAACTCGTCTGACCTGCATCCCTCTGTGTTTACCACCACACACGTGTGTGCTCCTGACTGGCCCACACCTGAGCTCCAGCCAGCGGGCATCTAGGGACCAAGGCCCACCCTGCCTGATTGTGGCCACAGCAGGATCACCACAGAATTGTCAGAAGTCTCCACTCCGGCTGAAAGGCACACTGGCAAGGTGCAGCAGCACCTCTCTCCCAAACGGGAAGGGTCTTCCATAGCCTGTGCTCTACACCCACAGGAAGAGGCGCCGACTCCAGTTCCAGGTGGTACCAGTGTGAGCGTGGTCACACGGGAAGCCTCAGGAAGCTGCTGCAGGGCCCTCGTCCAGCCCCGCCCAGCCAGAGGCAGCAGGTGCAGGGCACCACATGGACACCCCTGACACAGGGGACTGTCCCGAGGCTCAGGGAGACCACGGAGGCAAGCTGTGGCAGATGGATCACGTTCTGCCAGTGTTCACTGTCAYGGTTTTTATTTTTCTAATGCTAAAATGACCCCTGTGTAGACAAGGCACACAACTGTTCTGAGATAAAAATCATAGTTAGGGTGTGCAAAGGTAGAGAAGACCCAGACTCCGCCTTCACCAGTGGTTCCCCTTACGATGGCGTGATCACATGGATGATTTTATGATCACCAGCTACTAACTGTATCCCCAAATGTCGTCATTAGATTCTCAAAGCCTAGGGTTTGTGTGTATTCCCTGGAAGGCAATGAGAAAGTCTTCTTATTTCCCCTTAGGCTTCTCTTCAGAAGGCGCGACAGTGATTCCCTTGCAGTGGCCGCCGCTGGCAGGCGTGGCTGAGGAAGACGGAACCACGCGGGGTCTCTCCAGACCGACTGCTGCAGGAGGCCTCAGGGAAAAGGGATCGCTCAAATCTCAAAGTTGGTGCTTAAAACTGGTTTGTAACCAGAAAAGAGGGAAAAATGTAAGTCTCCTGTTTCTGCACATTTGAGTGTGACTGCAGCTCAGCAAATGCACAGACACATAAACAGAGAAATCTGCCACGAGTTACGTGGCTGTCTTGAAGAGGCACTGCCCAACGSTGACAGGGAAACAGGCAAGAAATAAAAAAGAGGATTCCACAGAACTGTCTTTCCAAATTGCTATAGAAGTTACTTTAAGACCTCGTGAAGAAACCCAGGAAGATGGGTTGAACTCTATGTTTTTGGAGGCAACAGATCACTGCTCTGTGGAAGTCCTCTCCCTGGAAGGAAGTCCTCCCTGTGGAAGGAAGTCCTTCTGTGGAATTAAGTCCTCCCTGTGGAAGGTAGTCCTCCCTGCGGAATTATCTCCTCTAAGTCCTCCATGTGGAAGAAAGTCCTCTCTGTGGAAGGTAATCCTCTCTGTGGAAGGAAGTCCTATCTGTGGAAGGTAATCCTCTCTGTGGAAGGAAGTCCTATCTGTGGAAGGAAGTCCTTGTGGAAGGAAGTCCTCTGTGGAAGGAAGTCCTCTGTGGAAGGAAGTCCTCTCTGTGGAAGGAAGTCCTCCCTGTCGAAGGAAGTCCTCTCTGTGGAAGGAAGTCCTTGTGGAAGGAAGTCCTCTGTGGAAGGAAGTCCTCCCTGTGGAAGGAAGTCCTCTCTGGGGAAGGAAGTCCTCTGTGGAAGGAAGTCCTCTCTGTGGAAGGAAGTCCTCTGTGGAAGGAAGTCCTCTCTGTGGAAGGAAGTCCTATCTGTGGAAGGAAGTCCTTGTGGAAGGAAGTCCTCTGTGGAAGGAAGTCCTCCCTGTGGAAGGAAGTCCTATCTGTGGAAGGAAGTCCTCTCTGTGGAAGGAAGTCCTCTGTGGAAGGAAGTCCTCTCTGTGGAAGGAAGTCCTATCTGTGGAAGGAAGTCCTCTGTGGAAGGAAGTCCTATCTGTGGAAGGAAGTCCTCTCTGTGGAAGGAAGTCCTCTGTGGAAGGAAGTCCTATCTGTGGAAGGAAGTCCTCTCTGTGGAAGGAAGTCCTCTGTGGAAGGAAGTCCTATCAGTGGAAGGAAGTCCTCTCTGTGGAAGGAAGTCCTCCCTGTGGAAGGAAGTCCTCTGTGCTGTCAGTACATAACTAAGTGGAATGGCGCACCAGTTGATGAGGGCAGAACTTCTCTTCCAGCAGACATCTCCGGACCACTCATGGCTCACTGTAGTGTTTGCTTGGCACTTGGTCAGCATTTTTATGAGTGCCCAGAATTTACAGTGTGATTATCTGGCCACAAAATACTTTCTGTGCTCCATCCAAGGACATACTGTATCTATGGAAGTGGTTCTGGAAAATTCTTGAAATGACCCTTCTGAGGATTTTATGTCATCTTTGCAGGATCCCCATTAAGTCAAAGCCTCTTGAAGTCTTCTGAGCACCTTATAAAGTATCAAAGATACTGCACAGAGTCAGAAGAAGCCCTGAAGTCCTCAGGCGTCTTGAGCCATGAAGACGGCCACCCTGTGGGACTCTGTCTGAGGACCTGGTTCTGGTGGGGAATGGAGCCAACTAGAGAGGGCAACCTTGCTTTCTCCTGGGAGGAGCCGCAGAGAAGGCCGAGGTCTTTACACCCATCAGTACAGCCCCGGGGCACAGGCCCGGCAGAAGCCGCTCACGCCGCGGTCCCCCTCACCTGCCCAGCCCGGCCTGTCCCTGCAGGGACCACTCGGCCACTCTCAGGAACCACTGGGCTGAGTGTGGGGAGCTGCTCCAGCTTAGCTCTTCCCACAGAAGCAGCCCTCCCCTGCCAGGCCCTTTCAGCACCCAGAGGTCAGAAGGAGCCTCTGGACATGTCAGGAGAAGCTGACCAGTAAGGATCTCCCATCTGTCAAACACACCACAGCAGAGAAAGAGAGGTTGAGAGGCTCCTGGAATCGAGGGTGGAATCCAACAGCGACTTTCTCCCTGGTGGAAGAGGGCGATGTGTATTGAGAGTGAATCAAAAGTCAGACTCTCCAGTGAGGTCTCGCTGCTGGAGAGTGAGGATGTGAATGGAGAGCACACGGTGCAGATATCAGAGGGGGGACGGGGAGACGTGGAAGGGCGTAGGCAGCCAGGGAAAGATGGTGAGGGAGGGTGGGGTGGGTTCAGGAAGGAGGGGCAGGCAGAGGGTCCCCTGATGAGGTCAACTTCCTGCTTGGTGAAAGCACTTGTGGACACAAGCGGGGACCCAGGCAGACAGAAGCTCTGTGTGGGGGATCCAGCAGAAAAACTAAAACAGCCAAGTGGACAGAGGGGACACCAATCAGTAACAGTGAGGAGCACATGGACGGGGCAGGAGATAGGAAAGGAGGAAATTCCAGAGACCACAAATCGACCAAAGCTCCCCACTGGACTCCCAGCTCTGGGGCCCTCTCTGCAGAGAAGTCTCTGTGTCTCTGTCACCTTTGCTCTGAGTCCTGCTCTTCAGTTCTTTGCTGAGCAGAGACAACAAACCCAGCACCCCTGATGACCACAGGAGGACTTAAAGTCAAGCTTTGGACCAGCGGCCAGAGGCTCCAAGCTGCTCTTCCAGCCCCAGATCACCATCTTGCTAGAATGTCAGCAAGAGACTCATCTCATGAACACAGTCCACATCCCACTGGGCGGATGAAGTCAGCGAGATGTGGTGACAACCTGTCTATGGTATCGTCACTGCCACTGGTAAACCTGGGACCTGCCTATTAGACACAGAGATACAAAGAGTAAAGAGTTGTATAAAGAAAAACAGAGTCGCGACCCTAAAAGCAGACCTTGAGCCCTTAGCACTGGGAGGCAGCTCTGCTCTCTCCTGGGGCTGACTCTGCCACTCCGGTTCTGCCACTCAGCTGCCCTGCCCTGAGTATAGTGGGGGCCGCCCTGGGCGCTTGGTCTCTGGCTGTGCRCCTCCTGGAGCAAGCTCTCGACACATAATTAGCACTTTGGTGACAGTCTTCCTCCATATTTTCTCACTAAATATTAGGCTAAGAACATGATTCTAATTCCAGTTTACCTCCATAAATTTCAAGTTTTACAACCAAAGAACAACTTTTTATTTTTAGAAAATTACCTTTGTAAGGTTAGTAAAATGCCTATTTGGGGGAAAAAAAAAGTTTATTTCCAAAACTAGCAAAAAGATGTCAGTGGCTTACCCTGTGCCTGCCAGTTATCCAAATCATGTGACAACCAAAGGCACAGGGGTCGAGAGAAAGCCCAAGATGCTCCTCCTCCTGGAGGGGTGCCGCGACTCCAGGGTCAATGCTGAGGCACTTCTAGGGGCAGCAGCTACGAACTGCGTCCACCTGGGAGAGGCCTTCAGCTGTGGCCCTGTTCCCAGCCCTGCACGCGGGGCCTGTGAGCTTG